CTACTTCAGCCTTTTTCCTTTTAATTTTTTTTTTCTTTTCATGATGACAGTGGTGAGGCCCTGCCTCCCCTGACTGCACGTCACTGGCTTGGACAGTATACTTTTTAAGACATTGAAAAAGTTAAACTTTTTAGTTAGGACCATAACTGTAAAGGTTAGTAGGAACACAACTCATTGTTGGGTGTACGAGTGGCTGCAGTAGCAGCAGCTAGAAATATTTCAGTTATATTGTTAAGTTTAGAGAAAAATAATTCTACTTTGCTGGTCATCAGTTAGAAATATATGAAGTTCTACAAATGTCACTAGATTGATATCATAATAGCTGATCTTTAAACACTGACTGTAGTTGGTCTGACAGTTTAATACAAGGTGTGAACACTTACTTCAAGAGGATAAGTAGCATTTAAAGGGCAGTATAATACCATATGATTCATATGCTTCTATTATAATTTTGCTCCTTGTACCAGCTAAGACAACTCTTGGGATAGATATTAACATTCATTTTCTTTATTATAGATATGCAGAGTAGTTCCTTAAAACTTTTTCCAAGTTTGGAACAAAAGGCAATGCTGTTAAAGCGTCAAGCCTTTGCTATTTTCAGTGGTGAAATTGATCAGTATCATCTTTATCTTCCTTTGATACAAGGTGAGTAATAATTTGTTTATGTTATAAATAAAGGATGTGATATAACTTATAACATTAACCAAAAAGGATAAAATAATTTTTAGAGTGAAGTTGAAAAAGGCTATGAGCGGCAGTTTCTGTATATGTGGCAGTGGAAGTGTGGAATTGTGCAGAGACAACTCAATGAAATCCAGTTTGACACCTGTGTTTTAGAGTAAAACAGTTTTTTCCAACTTGATGCTTTTTGATAAATGCCATTTTCACTCACATTATCCTCCTAGTCATTATGGTAAGTACAACATGTCTTGTAAACAGGAATTACCAAAAATGTCATTGGATGTCCTGATATTATCCCCAGATTCAAAATCCACTAATTAGGAAAGTATCAAATCAAGATTCTACTTTATTCACACAAATAGACAGATATACAGGTAGTCCTCAACTTAATAACAGTTCATTTAATAACTGTTCAAAGTTACAATGGCACTGAAAAAATTGATTTATGACCATTTTTCACAGATGACATTTCCAGCATTCCCATGATCATGTGATCAAAATTCAGATCCTAAGCAACTGGTTCATACTTATGACTGTTGCTGTGTCCCAAGATCATGTGATCAGCTTTTGCAACCTTCTGACAAGCAAAGCCAATGGAGAAGCACAATTCACTTAACAACTGGGTTACTAACTTATCAACTGCAGTGATTCACTTAACAACTGAAACAAGAAAGATTGTAAAATGGGCCAAAATTCACTTAATATTTCATTGAGCAACAGAAACTTTGGGCTCAATTGTGGTCGTAAGTCAAGGACTACCTATATTCATTATTCTCCATAATTAAAAAGGAGAGTAAGTACTCTATCTATTAGAGTAAGGGAGATGATTGACCTTTGTGGTTCTACAGTAGGAGGGGCTAACCACACTCAATTCACTACTGACTTAACATTATATTAGTTAAATTGTAGAGTCATGGCCATGACTCAATAAATATTGGAACTTTTGTTTGTGGATCACTTGGCAACCCCACAACATCATCTGAGCCTTTCATTGAGATAGAAAAAATAAACTTTGTTTGACAGGTATAGGTAGGCAAAAATGTGGGTGGGAATGACAAAGCAGTAATCATGAAGCCAAACCATAACTCACACAACTTCCGGAGACATGGGCATGTAAAGGCAAAACCTGTGTAACTTCCGTATACTCATCTCATCTCATTTTGAAGAAATCTTTGCTTCCTCTGGATTACTATGCCCCTGGTGCTCTAGTTTTGCTTATACAACGCAGCATCAATTTGAGTCTCTAAACTCACTTATAACATCAGTTTTGTTGACATACTCACTGTCAGCTCTATTCACAATTCAGTCTTTATCTTAGCCAGAGGGAGTTTTGATTTTAAAAAGTTTCAATGCTTGTTTGAAGAGAAAGGAAATATATACACTAAATCTGTGATGGTGAACCTATGGCAAGCGTGCCGGAAGTGGCACACAGAGCCTTCTCTCCAGGCACACGAGCTGTCGTCTGTTGCTCTGGCTTCTAGCGCATCAGCCAGCTGGTCTTCACACACGTGGGAACGCCGGAAACCTGAAGAGCATCGCACACCGGGAAAATGATCTTTCCGTTTCCACACATGCACACTGGTCAACTGCATGCATGTGCACCATAAATTGGAAGACCGGGTGGTCACGGTGCACATACATGCCAGAAAATGGAAGATCATCAGCATGCTCTTCCAGTTTCTGGCATACGCTCATGTGCGCATGCTCCTGTTTCGTCACAGAGAGCCGAAAAGGTTCACCAACACTACACTACACTAATAAATCAGAATGATGGTAACCAAACCACTTACATTTCAGTACTTTTCTATTTCAGTACACTTACTGGTATTGTTGTTTATAAGTACTAAGTTTTCATACTTGAGTTTTTAATAGTCTGGAAATTTTTTCTGTATTTCAGTAAGCCATCATGAGTTAAGAAAGTCAGCAGCATATAAAATAGATTACACTATTAATTTACCCTCTTTCTTTCTTTCTCTGTTGTAATTTTTTTTTCTAAGAGCGACTGACTGAAAACCTACGTGTTGGACACACTTCTTCAGTAGGTGCCCAGATGTTCCTTTTTTTCAGGGTACTTTTATTGAGAATTTCCCCTCAACACCTAACCTCTTTATGGCCAATCATGGTGACAGAACTGGTAAGAGTAATAATTAATAGCAGAATAATAATAATAGAATGAGTGATATTTTAAAGAAATAAATATTTACCAATACATTTTTCTCTTTTCTCTTCCATTTCCCTGATTATACAGATTCAAACATTTATACAGTTAGAGGAAGATCTAACAGATGAACCAGCAAAGTAAGTTTTTTTTTTCTAATACATTTAACAAAGAAAAACAAAAAATAATAAGATGAGCAATCTGATAGTTAATGGTATGCTGAAGATTGTTACTGGAAATAGTTCTATTATTTTAGGATTAAACTACAGTTCAGCAGTAGTAAAATACAGGCCATGCAGAGGAATAATATACCACAGAAAAAAACAATGTGTAATGCTCAGTTTCTGGATCAAAATTTTAGACTTCATTAACAATATCTATAGACTATGCAAAAGAGACAGTCACCCAGCCCAAAAAGGAACAAAAAGATTCAAGCACTTTTCCACCAGAAATCACCACCCAGATCATCATAGACAGTGGTGGGTTTTACTACTGGTTTGCTCGTGCGCATGCGCAGAAGCATCCTGGTGGGTGGGCAGAGCCTCCCGCCACCGCCACTACCAGTTCGGCCAAACCGGGAGCAATCCACCTCTGATCATAGATTAACTCCAAGGTTAACATCAAAAACAATCAAGTAACAATACCCCAATCAAGAAACTGCCAAGCAGCCAACAGTAAACAGTCCAATCAAAGAATCTCTAAGATCACCCCCACCAACACTGACAGGACAAGACCCCAGAAACTGACAGCAAACCACACTCTTACTAGCACTGATGATGCTGGATAATGAAACATCTGCAAGAAAACAAGCAAGCTCAGAGAGCATCAAGGACCCTTCATGTCAACCCTGAGCTACAAATATTCTCCTTTATTAGTGCAAGAAATCTTTTTGAAAAGCTGCTGTCATGCAACCGTCAGGGCTAGTAGAACAATTCTGTTTCTAGCCCTCTTGAAATTACATGGAATATAATACCCATTTTGGCGGCTGGTTTGGAAAAGAAAGGAATGTTAAATTTAAAATAGAAATGGTAAATTTTATAATGGAAATTTCTTAGCTGTTTTAGCTAAGTTCCAATAAAATTAACTTTCAGCAATTTCTTCTTTTTGAAATTCCAGGTGCATTTGTATTTGTACTCTTGTATGAAAAGGTTTAATTAATTGTTAAGTGTTCACATTTTTTAAAAAAAGTCACCAGGTCTGTTCTTCAGTCTTTGATATTACCTTTTATGATTCTCACAGAAACAACAAAAAAATGAGCAGACAGAAAGCATCATCAAATGGCAATGCTCGGTTACATGGAGACATACACCAAAATGAATTAACCTTGTATTTATCAGCCTGTAAATTCTTAGACACAGCACTTTCTTTTCCATCTGACAAGATGCAGTTGTTTCAAATGTAAGTGTTATATTTTTATTCTTAGCAAAATAGTAGAGTATTTGGAGATGATCTCAACATGATCTGATTGCATCTCTCTTTCTATTGCATAGCTATGCCACTCCATTAGTTTATTAAATCTAAGATTTTCTCTCACTTCCAGAATCTGGTGAAACCTGTTACCTTAAATATGTATTTAAATGCATTAAAAATACAGATTATATTGCAAAAAAAAATCAGTTAAACTCAAATATAGTTATAAAAAGGTTAAAAATAACAAATATGTAATGTAGCAATAGATGTAGCAATAAAGTTGTATTTTTTCCTCTTCAGGTTTTTAGAAGAAAATTTCTGGTTTAAGAAAATGAAGGCAAAAATGGCAAAAATGACAAAAGTAACAAACATATGTAGGCAAATTTAAACAGCATTTAGGTTTAAAGACTTTGTGCTGTGGAGCAAATGAGATAACCAGCATTTTAGAACTGGATAATTTTTTCTGTTAATGGACATGATAAAAAAATAAAGAGTATGTTAGATTTCATATCTTACATAATGTTTGTTTTTAGGTATAGGTGGGCCTTTGTTCCAGAGGTGGACATGCAGAGTTTCAGCACGGTTTCAGATGTAATGGAAAGTCACCAGGAATGCAAGCCTCATGTTGCTAGAATCATGGATTTATTGAAGCTAAAATATGGGGCAAGTACTATCTTTATTAAATGTCTTTCTTATCCTGAAACTCCATAGTTTCCTTATCAAATAATATTTGTAAATCAATATTTATGCTGCTCAGATGAACCCAAGACAGTTTGAACAATATTCTCATGAACAGAGCTTTTCAATTCAGCAACATTGCTCAGCAACATTTGTATATATTTTAGAAGGCAAAGTCTAGTAATCGTTCTATGGGATCCAATTCAAGTTAATTAACTAGTACATGATACAGTTAACATAGTGCATGTCCAATTCATATAAAATAAGCAAAGTTATTCATACTTAATGCAAAATAAACATATTTTGCACATTTTGAAGCATCCGTTTATATTGGAGAAAATATGGATTGTGCTACTTTGGATAATATTTTAACAAGACAGAGTAAGAAAACACTTTTATTTTATTCTGTTGTTTTCTAAAATTTGCATATCTATTACTGTGGAAATGTATTTAACATTTCTACATACCTATCTCAGGTTGTTGTGGGCCACACAGATTGCTTACACATTAGATCTGTTTGTGATCTCAGATTGAGTGTAGCATAAACTGTGGTTTATCCAACTTCATTCTTACTTCCACTACTTGGTTTTTCCTGTAATTGTGGAACATGCTTCTAAATACATACTTCTTGTGAAATCTCTTGTCATCCTACAATGTGTTGAATCTCAAAAATATGGAAAATATTATCTATAACATAAAATAGACTCTTGAAAATGTCTATGATCAAGCAAAAATAGTGTGTATATGTATGTATGTATATTAAATACTTTACATTAAATTGATATTAAATACTTCCATGCAAATGCATATTAACAATTCATTTTTATTTATTTTTTTAGAAACAAAATATCAGCGATGAACCAACAAAAAATTGTGATTTTCCTCTTTTGGATATTCATTCTGTATCAAATATCACACAATTAATTCCATTCTTTAATACGTTAAACTCTGCTTTTAAAACTCAAAGTGGCAGATTACTAAATACACGCAATTCCAAGTCTTTTAAAAACACCTATCCCACCAGCAGTGGAACAAGAATTTTGAAGCTGTTGGAAGAATATGTTGAGCATGATTTTATAGATAATATGGAATCATTGTAAGATATCTGTTCGGTTCTTATAATCATCAGGTTTCATTTTGCTAAAATGTGAAATGCTTGAAGTAACATGCAACTTTCCCTTGCTTTACCAAAACAAATTAGCTTAAATTAAAATGAAGAATCATTATTTTTCAATTAAAATAATAGTTTAATTGAGATGCTTGTTTATGAATGCAGATTTGACTTTCAATGTAAAAAAAAACCTCTTCTATCAGAAAATACAACAGTCTATATTTCTCAAAAGATAAATTCTTCTAAAGTCAATTTAATTCTGCTCTAACCAAGTTCTGCATAGCAACTTATTAAAACAAATTAGCAGTTAAACTCATGTTTTTCTGACCCCAAAGTCAGAAAACACATTTGCAAGATTGATCAGCCCTAGGTGGACCTTGCAAGAAAATCAATTCCACAGAATAGTAAAACTTCCTACTTTTATTGAGATTAGCTATAATGGCGGAATCTTGCCAGTTAGATTGTTTTGTGAATTAGTTTGCCTGAGGTGCTTCAAAACATTGTCTTATTCTTGCCTTAATAATTCTTCAACTCATTTTGGCTAGACAACAGATCATGCGTAAGTTCCAGCAAGGTCATCCTTACTCTCTATAGGTAGTTGACTCATAGCCTGTGGATCCCATGAAATTCCCTCTATCCTATATCAACCCCACATTGCCATAATCCTTTCCAATTCAGTGTTAGGCCTATGACTGTAAGCAAAAACAAATTTTCTAACAAGTAAGCTTCACCAAACTCAATGATACTTGCTTTTTCAGTAAATATTTTTAAGATTTGTCTTTATGTTTCCATGAATTTTATGAATAACCATTCTAAAACTGGAGGGAAATTTTACTTGGAAGTTTTAACTAATTTAAAGCCATTGTTGCCTTTTACAGTTTGATAAAATGATACTTAATTGTAATAGGCCAATAAAAATATAAAAAATGTATATCTAAGAACTGTACAGTTCCTATAGACAAGTATATATGTATAGTATGTATAGATTATTATGCTGCATTTTAAGTACCTATTTCCAAACCTGTTCAGAGTTTTATGCTGAAACTTTCTTGTGCAAAAAATGTAAATTTGCTGAAAGTATTATAGAGGCAGTCCTTGACTTGTGACCACTATTAAGCCTAAAATTTCTGTTGCTGAAACATTTGTTAAGTTAATTTTGCAACCTTTCTGGCCTCCCTTGTTAAGTGAATCATGAAGTTGTTAAGGGGGTAACATAGTTCTTAAGTGAACCTCGCTTCCCCATTGATTTTGCTCGTCAGGATCGCAAAAGGTAATAACATGATCCCGACACTGCAACCGTCGTAAATATGAGTTAGTTGCCAAATGTCTGAATTTTGATCACGTGACTATGCTGCAATGGTTGTAAGTGTGAAAAACAGTCATAAATCACTTTTTTTCAGTATCGTAACTTTGAACAGTCTCTAAGCAAGCTGTTGTAAGTTGAGGACTACCTATATAAGACTGGAAGCAAATCATTTTGTAGTTAAAGATTCTTTTTGAAAAAGAATGGCTCTTGTTCTAGGTAGGTTTTTGCACAGGATTTGCAGTACATGAGGCTGAACCAAGGATAAGAAGGTCAAAGATGCCATGCAAGTAGAAAAACATAGATAACAAAGCAAATAATGTATATATTCAAAAACTATTATTCTGTTGTTTAAATGCTTTTAGTATTTAATTGTACTTTTTTAAATTCAGATTTTTTTTTATGTTACTGTCCTTTCTCCACCTGTGATGATTAGCACTTTGAGTTTCTCAAATAATATACACTGGGCAAAAAATAATGTGAATATTTCTGTTTCCCATTTAGGTAAACATTTAAATACATTTGCTGAATTTGTTAAATGTCAGATAATAGCACCTTTTTCATTTAGTTTTGCTTTTCATTAAATGTCCACCCAGAACTTAACACCTGATGTATGATGTAAAGAGGTACTTATTTTAATATTGTAAATTATTTGTGTATTTTGTAAACTTAAACAATATACTTTAATTAAACTTACTTTATCATTATGAATGTATACTTACGCCTTTCTAAATGTTTTTGATCAAAGTTATATGTTCCACTGTATAACAGATACTGCTGTATAATACTTTGTGTTTCCTGTCAGGTGGAAATTTAAACTTTTCCAAAATCTTTGACAATGTTGCTAGCTCTCAGGGAAAATAGACAGTCTTTGTTTCCAATGCCAGTTGTATCACAGGAGAATCTCACATGTTCCCTTGCTCTTTGTTTATTCTGAGGAAGCACAGCTAATATTAGCTGTTTTACAATACATATAATTCCCAAATCTAATTTAATTCTCTAAATTTGAAGTTTAGTATCCCAAATACATTGTAACTTATTCTTCCATTATATCCACCACAAAACCTACTTTCCCCCCCTCTCTTCTGTTTTCTCCTCCACCCACTTTGAACTTAACTCAGGGGCTATATTTATGACTATAACTTTCAATTTCATTTGCCCTTAATTGTTTATTTAGGTAGATCACCTTTGCTATAAGATATATTGATGCTTGATGACTGCAGGAGGTCATTTGCTGCTACATTGTTTAATTTCATTCAATCTCACAAACAGTATATTGCCTTTGTTTCTTCAGGGCCCAAATATTTTCCCACATCCTGTCTAACAAAATGTATTTCAATTAATTGAAAATATACCTGACCAATTGGATTTACCATCCTTGAGTCTCTATTATATTTCAGTAGATTTACTGTGCACAACTTGTAGCTGCACAGCAATGTGAGATTGATAGCACATTGAGAACCAGTTTGGTATAGTGATTAAAGCATCAGGCTAGAAAGCTGGAGCCCATGAATTATAATTCTGCCTTAGCCATGAAAGCCACCTGGGTGACCTTGGGCCAGTCACTCACACTCAGCCCAGCCCACGTCACTGGGTTGTTGTTGTTGGGAAAATGGGATGAGAAAGGTTGTGTTGGATACATTTGCTGCTTTGAGTTATTTGTAAAAATAAAAAGGAGGTTTTTTCCCCCAAAAAATTGAAATCAATATTGTCTGGTTTGGGAAATACTGCTATTATTGAAATGCATGTTTTCCAAGTAATCATGATATAGATTAAGTTTTGATTTGATACTATTGTTTTAAAATGACTGATAACCGAGTATCTTAGACAATGATTTATGGCAAAAAGAAATGGGATGTAATTACATATTTAAAATGATTGGCAAAGGTGGAGCATTATGGTAAATAGGTGCTGTATAAAGTTGTAATTAATATTGAATGTAATTTTCATAGTCAATGTTATTTCAAAACACCTTGAACATTAAATGTTTGTTTCTACCACTTATATTCTTTATTTAGATTGGTCTTTCATACTGAATATATTATTTCTAAATCATAACCTTTTGAAACATCTACATACCTACAAAGAAACAGTTAAAAAATAAATCATTTGAAAAACAAAGTTTCAACTCTTGCAATTATTTTGATAATCTGTTAATCTTTTGGGGGATTTCATTTATCACTGAGCATATAACAGATACTTTGCTAGCATATATTGTATTATACAGATTCAATCTCTGAATCTAAGCACATGTACAGTTTCCATGGCAAGCCCCAGAGAGGTGAACCAGTCCATGACAAGCAGTGTAGGCAGGCAGCCCTATACAATGATGAGAGGCAAACAACCCTGGAATTGAGGGGTGGGCACCTTGAAATTACCACTTCCCACAAAGGGAATGGAATTGCCTTGATAGTCTAGCAGTTTGATGGAACAGGAAAATAGTTGTTTCTTTGAAACAATTGGAATTAAACATTTAAGGGTGCTCCAGGACATGATAGAACGCACGGAGCTGGTGTCCACCTCCATCTTACAGGGTGCTCCTTTCAGGAGTACCCTGAGGTAAATTTTCTTGTCTGAGCTCAGATACTTCAGGTTGCGGTAGCTCTCAGGAGATTGCAAAACAATCTTCGTGCGGCTTAAAGGGACGGATAGATGTTCTTTTGACCCTAGGTCACTCAAAAAACTGCTCTTTTGAGGGAGAATGTGACCTGCACACCCTGGCCAGGTGTCCCTTTTTGCCACATCATCGGCAGATAGCTAATCTAAAGTTACAGCAAGCCCTAGTATGGCTGCCAGACACAGCCGTCACAGGAATTCTGAGGGAAGTCCCCCCCCCCTTCTTCCTGTCTGCAGACATTCTTAAACAACTCACATCGGTCTCCTCTTTGTACATGTCAACTCTGTCCATCTCATTGTCGTGGTGCACAGCGATCGACTGGCTGGCAGGGGCGGAGGACGCCAGGAACCTCTGGATCTCGGCTTGAGACTTATCAGACATTTCTGACACCCTAGCCTCGTCTAGTGCCATTTGTAGATTCAGCTCAGTTCAGGCTATCAGTCGGTGCTGAAGCCGAAGATCCTTCATCCCACAATAATTGCTCAATCCCGCAATAATTGCTCAAGAAGGGAGACCTCTAAATTGCCAAACTCGCAATAAAGAGCAGCTGTTCTTAAAGCAACCATGTATTCATTAACTGACACCCCTTCTTTTTGGATTCTTTGTCTGAAAGTATAGCACCTAGCAATTTGAGACTGAATCGGAGAGTAGTGGTTCTTCAATCTTCCTAACGGGGTCTCCCATGGAACAGAGTGGACCGACTGTGGTGCAGTTTTTAAAGCCCTAGCCATTCTGAACATTTCCTGACTGCAAGAGCTCAAAAACCAGGCTCTCCTGCAGCTGCTGGACAGCTCAGTAAGATTGTTCACTTCTAAAAAACAATTGAAACTGTTTAAGTAGGCGTCCCATGTCTCCATTGCTGGACTGAAAGCCGCAAAAGTGGCTAGCGTAATCATCCTTAAAAGGACAGTGATTTTAAAAGAAAAATTGCCTCACAATGAGTTATGGTATCAGTGACTGGAGGCTGCATTCCGTTCGAATGTACCTCAGTTCTATCGGTGACTTCACTGATCTATTACCTCAGCCCAAGATCCCACTCACATCGCCAGTGTTCTAGAGAGAGACCGGGCAGGTCAAGGACTGAGACGAGACAGATTTGCTAACAACCAATCCCTTTATTGGGATAACAGTTAACAATAATTCAAGGCAAAGCAGCAATGGCAAAATGGCAACAAGAGAACAGAACTCGTTTGATAGCTCTTTATATAGCGGCTGTCAAACAGGCAGCCAATCAGCAAGCCGTGTTCTCCCGCTCTGGCTGTACAACGCTTCTGCCAATCAGGAGAGCCCTGTACGTGGGCACGTCATTGAGACAGTGGACATAACATACAGATCCAATCTCTGAATCTAAGCACCTGTACAGTTTCCATATGGAAAGATGACATATGTATTGATTATCATCCTAATGGGTCACACCCCAGTTTGTGCCAGGGTAAAAAGTTGTCTATAAAAAACTTGTAAAATATTGAAGAAATGTGTAGGGAGGGAGTTGCAATAATACTGCATAAATGATGAAAAACTTACTGGCTCTATCAATTCATATATACAAGTCCCAAATCCTCTGTTTGAAGTCAGAATTTATCAAGAACATGAGCAGAATACGTCAGCAAAGAAAGGCTGAAATATGCCACATCATTGTTAATTTGTCCTCTTAAGGTAGACCTAAAGCAGTCCTAGCAAGTTGAATGTAAAAATTAATGTAAAAGTGATAGTCCCCAATTAATGATGGCAGTTGGGACTGTAATTTCCATCACTGAATGATATAATTGTAAATTGCAAGTCATATGACCACACTACTTAGTGACAGAAATTCTTACATTTCCAGTTGGCATCAAGTGAATCACTGGGTAATTAAGCAAGGCCATCAAGTGGTTGCCATTTCTGACCAAGTGCTGGCTTCCTTATTGACTGCTTGTAGAAGCTGTAAAGAAGGTTGTAAATTATGGTTATATGATCTTGGGATGCTGCAATGGTCTGAACTTTGAGAACCAATCCTAAGAGTCAGTGTATAAGAAATTATGAGCTGGGATAGCCATAACTACGTCAGTAAATGGGAACTGTTTGGTGACTAAGAAACAGGATCTGTTGCGAGCCATGTGAGATGGCTCGGAGTGTGTGTGTGTGTGTGTGTGTTGGTTTGTCCTTCCTTTATACTTTTGTGCTTCTAGCTTCTGTGATTTCTGGTTCTGGCTTCTGCTTTTTGTCCTTGTACTTGTTACCAGGTTGCTAGAGCTGCATGGG